GTACCCGCTGGTGGACACCAGAGGTTCGGGGAGCCGTCAGGCTGAAGAAGGAGGCCTACAGGGCGTGGCTGGTCTGTGGGTCTCCGGAGGCAGCAGACAGGTACCGGATAGCCAAGCGGGGTGCAGCAGTGGCAGTTGCCGAGGCAAAATCTCGGGCGTGGGAGGAGTTTGGTGAGGCCATGGAGAAAGACTATCGATCGGCTCCAAAGAGGTTCTGGCAAACTGTCCGGCGCCTCAGGAGAGGAAGGCAGCAACTCGCTCACACTGTTTACAGTGGGGATGGGGAGCTGCTGACGTCAACTGAGGCTATAGTCGGACGGTGGAAGGAATACTTTGAGGAGCTCCTCAATCCCACCAATGCGCATTCCGAGGAGGAACCAGAGCTGGGAGGCCTGGGGATGGACTGTCCGATCTCGGGGGCAGAAGTTGCTGAGGTAGTCAAACAACTACACAGCGGCGGAGCCCCGGGGGCGGATGAGGTTCGTCCTGGGTATCTCAAGGCTATGGATGTTGTAGGGCTGTCATGGTTGACACGTCTCTACAACATTGCGTGGTCATCGGGGGCAGTTCCTAGGGAGTGGCAGACCGGGGTGGTGGTCCCCATCTTTAAGAAGGGTGACCTGAGGGTGTGTTCCAACTATAGGGGGATCACACTCCTCAGCCTCCCTGGAAAGGTCTACGCCAAGGTACTGGAGAGGAGGGTCCGATCGATAGTTGAATCTCAGATAGAGGAGGAGCAATGTGGTTTTCGTCCTGGCCGTGGAACTGTGGACCAGCTCTATACCCTTGCAAGGGTGATGGAGGGGGCATGGGAGTTTGCCCAACCAATCCACATGTGCTTTGTGGATTTGGAGAAGGCTTATGACCGTGTCCCCAGGGGCACCCTGTGGGGGACGCTCCAGGAGTATGGGGTGGGTGGCTTTCTGTTAAGGGCCATTCAGTCCCTTTACAAGAGGAGCGTGAGTTTGGTCCGCATAGCCGGTAGTAAGTCGGACCTGTTCCCAGTGAGGGTTGGACTCCGCCAGGGCTGCCCTTTGTCACCGGTTCTGTTCATCACTTTTATGGACAGAATTTCTAGACGCAGCCGTGGTGTGGAGTGTGTCGAGTTTGGTGGCAGGAGAATCTCGTCTCTGCTTTTTGCGGATGATGTGGTCCTCCTAGCTTCATCCAGCTCTGACCTTCAGCTCTTGCTGGGTAGGTTCGCGGCCGAATGTGAAGCGGCTGGGATGAGGATCAGCACCTCCAAATCTGAGACCATGGTTCTCGACCGGAAAAGGGTGGCTTGCCACCTCCGGGTCGGGGGAGAGGTCCTACCTCAAGTGGAGGAGTTTAAGTATCTCGGGGTCTTGTTCACGAGTGAGGGTAGGAGGGATCGGGAGATCGACAGGCGGATTGGTTCGGCGTCTGCAGTGATGCGGACGCTGAGCCGATCTGTCGTGGGGAAGAGGGAGCTGAGCCAGAAAGCCAGGCTCTCGATTTACCGGTCGATCTACGTCCCAATCCTCACCTATGGTCATGAGCTTTGGGTAATGACCGAAAGAACGAGATCGCGGATACAAGCGGCCGAAATGAGTTTCCTCCGTAGGGTGGCCGGGCTCAGCCTTAGAGATAGGGTGAGGAGCTCGGACATTCGGGAGGGACTCGGAGTAGAACCGCTGCTCCTCCGGATCGAAAGGAGCCAGTTGAGGTGGTTTGGGCATCTGGTCAGGATGCCTCCTGGACGCCTCCCCGGGGAGGTGTTTCGGGCATGTCCTGCCGGCAGAAGGCCCCCGGGTCGACCCAGGACACGTTGGAGAAGTTACATCTCCAATCTGGTCCGGGAACGCCTTGGGGTCCTGCCGGAGGAGCTGGTGGACAAGGCCGGGGAGAGGACGGCCTGGAGCTCCCTAGTTGGGATGCTGCCCCCGCGACCCGGACCCGGATAAGCGGAGGAAGACGACGACGACTTTCTCTCACATTTTTATTAAACTTAACAAAATTAAAACCCATTTCTAATCTAAAAATATCAGTTTGTTTATTTTGAGTGGAACTTCCAGTCACCCATTTGTGTACTTGTTAATACATTAACGATATACTTTCATTATAGGCTAAACTTTAACACACTGTACTTTGAACACTTAATTGAAGAAAACACTGAGAATGGTAAATGGCCTGTATTTGTATAGCACCGAATCTCGCCCACGAGACCTTTCCACCCGGCCCCTCAACCCTTCGGACCCAAACATCCCCCAATTGGGGGACTTTTAAGTTTAGCAGCAAAATTCATGTCCCAAATATCAATAATCGTTTACGTTCCACAAACACATTTTAACTACAATCAAAACCGTTCCAATGGAAAACAAAGCCTTTTTAAATATTAACAAATTAAGATGCAATAATACTTTAACTTAATTTTAAAAGAGCGTCTGGCTCTGTGTGTCTGCTGCATAAAACTCTTACCCTTGAACAAATTTAGCAAGAGCCCTGCTGTCAAGAGCATTTTTTTTAATTATCTTTATTTCATTCAATAAAAAAATAACACAACAGATACAAAACAATATTCATAAAAACACAATATATATTTGAATGAAAGGGAGCAGATAGAAGAAAAATCTTATTATTTCTGCCCCCTTTTTAAACTTAAATATCAATTTATATTTGTGCAGTCCCTCACCAGTTCTTTCAGTCCCGTTAATTATTATGTCCACATCAATTGTCCGTTGTCATATCCACTCAACACACGTGATTTAATGTGTTGACTGAACACTTTTAGAGTTCTTGACTCTTTCCATTCTCTGTCCAGGCAATTCCAATTTTATAGATCAGACGTGTACTCTGAGCTACTGGAGTGAGTTTCATACAAACATCATTTATTTTATGACTATGGGACAAAGTCTCAGCTGCCCCAGATTTTGTAAAACAATTATATCCCAACTGGTATCATTTTTTCTTTACTTTATTGATCATCACAATAATGTATATAATTTATTGATGCAGATCTGTGCATCACTCTGTAGATTTCTACTAAAGAAATGTATGATTTTCTTTCCTAAACAGAATGGACTCTTAGGGAGCATACAGAGTATTCTAAACAATATTTATACAGAAATAAAGAAATGTGTTTAATTCATTATTGGAGTTATCAGACCTCCATCTTGAATGTATATTGTGGAAAAGTCCACCTACTTAAATGCTGTGATGTTTTTCCACAGACTGCAGTGTTGTGTGTTTTCACAGAATTAATATAAATAACCCAGTTCTGCTCTTGAGCATCAGCAGAGATGCTCATAAACATTTAGATGGGCTTAAACTGTGATACTGTTGGGTTAAAAGCAGGAATGTGACCCGTTATTAGGAACCAGGGAGCAGAGACAATAATCCAGACACTCTACTTTTAAACCTTAAACCTGTTCAGATCAAACCTGTTAAAAACCGTCTTTTCTTTCATTTATCTGCCAAAAAGCCCGGGCAGTGGTGGGGGTTTCTGCCCTCCCCCACTGGGCGTCATGGGCCGGTGTCTTGGCTGCTGCCGTGGATCTGTTGCTGTCAGGGCAGATGGCTCCGCTGATGTCTCGTTCATTACCTGACCCATCTGAACTCAGCCTATTGCTTCCTCTGTTGTTCACTTTACTTTCCTTGACATGGAATGTGCTACTACTAGTTTACCTGTTTAATTATAGATTCACTAGGATAAATACAATAAAGTTTATCTCTCACCAAATAGAATATTTACTAAGAAATCACAATGTAACCATAGAAACATTACTTGGTATATATGTTGTGTGTGTGTGTGTGTGTGTGCGTGCGTGCGTGCGTGCGTGCGTGCGTGCGTGTGTGTGTGTATGTCCACTTTGGAAGTTGGGTGCGGGAGAGGAACCGTATTTGTCAATTGTTTTATAGTTGGAGAGGGGGGCTGGGATGGGAATATGGGATCGATGGGGCCATTTTAATCTGTGAAGCACTTTGAGTTGCATTTTTTTTGTATGAAAAGTGCTATATAAATAAAGTTGATTTGATTTGACTTTTCAGGAAACATAAGGATAAGAAACATGTTAATATTACGGATGTGTTTACAAGTAACAACGCCGTCTCTTGTAGTAGTATCAATGAGCGGCTGAGCGCAGCAGGGAAGCACTGAGTCGAGCTGACTGAAGTTGGCTCCCAACCCACATCAGAAATCCACACAAATATAGTGGTTTGTGTTTTCTGGTGTACAGTAGGTGGGGAGCCAGCTTCACTCGTCTGTTGAGGCTGATGTGAAAGGAGGACAGACAGCAGCAGTAGCAGCGCTGTTACTTCTAACTTTTGAGAGACGGGCAGAAATTAGCATTTTGAGCATAGTTGCCGTCTAGTCTTGGCTCGTTAACGAAAACTCCCGTTTGTCTCGTCACGTTTTAGTCACCAAAGAGCTATTTTAGCTTGTCTGCGTCTCGTTTTCGCAACGAAAAGAGGGGCATCAACTAAATCAATTCGTCATCGTTTTTGTTAACAAAAACAAGACTGCTCATATCCCATCATCTACAACATTACCAGTAATTTTTTCTTGTCCAGAGAAATAAAATCTATCATTTTAAGCTAAATCACAACATGCCCTATAGGTTATAAATTGTAAGTCGCTTTGGATAAAAGCGTCTCCTAAATGAATAAACATAAACAGAAATTGCTAACGCTAACGGTTTGCTTCTACTAGACGAAACGTTCTCTGCTGTTCCCTGGATGCTAGAGATCTGCCTGGCTTTTCAAATAATAGTATAAATAGTGACTCAGAGTTACCAATTATAATCAGAAATAATTATTAAAAATGTTTTTTAGTGTTCCACACCTTTAAAGGTTCAGTCACCCTCTGGCTGGAGTCTTACTCCACCCACACTTCCTGTTTCAAAAATGTGTGTAAAAGAAGCATCGCCTGGCGGACAGAGAGAGCGGTGCTGAGGCGCTTGTATCCACCATAAAACTGTTACAAATGGAGAATATCATAATATGTCCCTTTAAAAAAATTCAATGAAAAATAAACTACTCACCTGACGGCCTGAGGTGAGGAGTCGAAGTGAATATTTCTGTTATACTGGGCGTCAGACACAAAGACGGTGGCCAGGGCAAAATCCTGAAACACACCAGGCATTATTTAGGGATGTAAACAGTTCAGCCTGATCTGCGATAAAGAACTCTGGTTGTAGGGTGAAGACGGCCGAGGCACGTGCACAGCGCTGCAAGTCAGTGAAGTTCTGTCGAACTTGCGTGTTTTGTTGTTTTCATCAAAGCGATTCGTACAACCAACAGCACAACAATACATGATTGCGGCTCTTTCTGCATTTGGCATGCGCATTGGCAGGAGGTGATGTGGACGGATAAGGTCTATATTTTAGTTTTAGTAATTATTTTCTGCAAAATATTTAGTGTCTCTAAAGACGTTTGAATCTGGTCATTTCCCAGCAGCGTTTTAGTTGATTTTCTCAGCTCACCTCACATGGACTCACACTGGCTAAACACAGTAAAAAAAAACACAGTCCTCGGGGTTTCCCCCAGCGCTCCATAAGCCCGGCGGCCCGCCAGGCCAAACATCCACCCACGACCACCGCAGTCATGAACGATAAACAGCAGCGAAAAGAGCAGCACGCCACTCCTCTGCTTTCACGGAGGATAGCGTAACGATTTGGGCGCCACCCCCCTCCAAGCATAATGAACGGTAGTGAAACGAGCCGCGCGCCAGGCAACACAGACAATATCTGAGGTGACGGTGGTGTTGGTCTGCGGGTCCCCCACAGAAAAATCAATTATCAGTGAATTAAGACAAACATGAAATAAAATGCTGGCCCAGTTTTTTACTGATTTATTTTTATTTGTTTGTGTTGGTTTGTTATGCTGCAAGACTAGCCTTGGCTACGGCCGTTACACCTGGTGGCACAACCAGGTGCTAAAATGTCTTGCAGCACTGCTGAGAAGTCGACGGACAAGTGTCGATTCCTTTCCAACCTCGGCATCATTCTGGCAGGCAACAACATTTGTCTGGGAGGGCGACATTCAAACAAGTCTAGCCGCTGGAAGACTAGACACTGGACAGTTAGGTGGTGCACAAGACTGGGAGACACTGGGAGATGTGGGCCAGAAGCCGTTTTCCAGCTGAGATTGCATCTACCAACCTACGGACAGACATTGTGATGTGGTCGGATTTGCTCAAGCTTGTCTTCATCATTGAGCTCGCTGTGCCCTGACAAAGTGCGGTAGAGGAGGTCTACGTGATGAAGAAGCTGAGGTACGCTGAGCTGGCGGCCGAGATGCAACAACTAGCTGGAAAGTGAAGGTTCGCCTGGTGGAAGCAGGCTGCAGAGAGCTTGTAGCCACCTCAACATCCAGACTACTCAGGGAGATGGGAGTGAGAGGGAGGGACGGCCAGCAGGTTGTCAAAGACCTCTCCAGGACTGCTGAAAAATGAGCCTGTGGCTGTGGATGAAGAGAAAGGACTTCAACTGGGCTCTCATTTGAATTTACGGCAACTGGGAACACACGTGTCAAACTCCGGCCCTCGGGCCAAATTTGGCCCTCGGTCTATTTTTATTTGGCCTGCGAGATCAAATATCAAATATTTATTAACTCATTCACTGCCAGCCGTTACCTGATCGCTAACGGCCTTCGCTGCCAGCGTTTCTCACCGTTTTTACTGTTTTTTTAAGAGTCACAGAACGTTGCGTGCTAGCATGATGTCGATGCCAAAACAACCTAAACAAAGAGGCGACTCACCTCTTACATCAGGAAGAAGCTGTGTGTTTCGAGCGTTATCCGTTCTTTCATAATCCGTTGTCGGATTGTGATCGGCAGACACTTTTCCAGTTCGCGGTAGGGCTGGGGGTAAACGATTATTTTTAAAACGATTATTCTGACGATTATTTTATCGAATAGTCGACTATTCTAATGACTATTTAGAAAATTAATCTAATGATTATTTTTCTATTGCACAATTAACAAAAACCAGAAAATCTCAAATAAATTCCTCAAAAAAATTGATAAATTCTTACTGTAAGAGAATAAACACTACAGGCCTTCCATTTTGTATAACACTGCTTTTATTGTGTTGGTTGGTTATGTTCTGGTGACGTGTAGAACTTGGGAGTGCAGGCTGCTGCCTGAGAGGTGGTAGAAGATGGAGTGTCTCCATGCTGCTTTGTTTTGGTCACTTATGTGCGTGAGGCGAGTGGTCTTACGGGTTAAACCAAACTCAGGTGATATTTTACACTAAACCGAAAACCCACAACACTCTAAATGTAATAAAAGGGAGATCTACACCACAAACAAGATGAACTCTAAACCAAAACGTACGTAACAGCTTATCCCAACGCAAGAAGCTGTTAGCGAAGATGCTAACAGTAGCTTTACCAACATTAAGTTCAAGTTACCAAGTTTAAATAAACCAAAAACACCCGGCAGCAAACAGACCAGCACGGAGGAGAGACTGCTACCACCAAAACAGCTCTCCTCATGTCTGAAAGAAGCTCCTTAATGAAGGGAGAAACGCTCCCGGTGATTTTCTACATCTGCGGTAGGCACGAAGCAGCGCATTTGACCCCGGAAGTTGTTGTCCGTTGCCGGGAGACGAAGGGGCAAAACAGGAAAATAATCTAGTAGTGGACGGACATTGTTCCGGGTCTTCGGTATTTGGCGGAGATGTTAGTGAAGGCGGAGAAGAGGGCGAACTAGAGGAAAAACAGGCAGATTCCTCCTCTATTTACAAACTCCTGGGGATGCAACAAGTGGGCGCGGTGCGTCGACTTCCGGATCTGACGTCGACAAATTTTTAGAATCGAGCCGTCGACTTCGTCGAGGCTTCGCTACAGCCCTAGTTCGCGGCTCACTTTTTTTTACAGGAACGGCCCAAAACGATCTCCAAACACATGGATGGTCTGCTTCCTGATCATGTGATCTGTAACGTATGCGGATGAAGATCGGCTTCAGGGCTGAGATGTTTGTTCTCTCAGCGCGGCGGCTCGTTCCAATGCTCAAACAGTAAAAAAATGCAAATGACGACTTTAGTCGTCATTGGCAGTGAATGAGTTAAAATTGGCCTGCCGGCCAATTTTGTCACAAAGACTACAAATCCCATAGTGCTTTGCGGCGTTGGTACATCAGTCGAAGCGTCCCCTCCTCTCTGTATACATTCATTAGCATCCACGCTACTACTCTGCATCTGCAGCGATACCTCCTCTGTCTCGGACAAACTGTAAACACTCCTCTTACTCAGCGCCGAGTTCACTCAGTAATTTGCCAACTTTAAAGCCCAGAAATGGATCTGACCGCTCTGTTCACGGCTGACAGAGAAAACGCACCGACCAACTTCCAAAGCGTGATGATTTAACTCCAGTTTAGCGACACGCTCAAGTCAGTACGACTCTGGCTGCTGCGCTTTCCTCCCCGACCAACTGCGTGGCTAAGCTGCTCAGATTCTCTCCATGTTCAGCAGTGAAAACCTCCCTGTCCTCTTTGATGAAGATGACCAAAACAACACAGGAGTCTCAGCGACTCCTCTTCCTCAGCTCAGAGCCCAACCCCACAGGTGCAGGTGTCTGACTGGAACAGGTGAGCATCACAGTAAATCAGAGTGGAACAAACTGAGCTTGAATTATGGTGGTTTTTATGCACTTTTTCTGCTCCTAAGCATGACAGTTAAAAGGGGACATGTTGCATTTTCATTTAAGAAAAGTGCTATTTTTTATTTTTGTTGTTAAGACTGTGAAAAAATACTAAACCTACTTTTAAAACAGGAACTGGAAAGATTACAGATGAATAGAATAAAAACAGAATAGAAATCCCTTTATTGTCCCTCAGTGGGGAAAGCTTGGTGTCACAGCAGCGATAACATTCATTACAGGAGCAAAAAAAGAAGAGTAACAAATAAGAATAAAGAGCGAACAACAAGAAAACAGAAATACTTACAATTTAAAATGCTGTATATATACAAAATTGAATGAATAAAAAAAATGTTGACATAGTAAGTAATGAATACCACTGATGTGTGCTTTATTTCAAATTGATTTGCATGTGTGTAATTTGGTTATTCCACATTCATCGGTACTGCAAAAATAAGCTGGATCATTGCCATCGCTTTTTCAATAAATATTGAGTTTGACCTAAACTTTAGGGATGCTCGATATTGGCTTTTTAACCGATATCTGATATAGTCGAACTCTTAATTTTGGATACCGATATAAAATGATACAGATTTATGCAGGGTATCCCCTAATAAATAAATAAATATTTCCTGTTGCTAACATTACATACCTCCTACCATGCATGCTTACGCTTTAAACATTGTCCGTGCAAAATCACAACTACTTCAATTTAAGTTAGTAATAGAAAAAAGTGGCATTTTTTATTTGTCTCCAACAGCAGTTGAATGAGATTCTCCTCGGGGTGATCCTGACGAACGCTCTGACGCCACTAGGCCAAAGTTTGAGTATTAGGTCAGTAAGTGGTACAAGTGAATTAATGATTAAAATGCTTTAGGTTTTGAAAACTGATCATAGTGAGACATCACTGTTACAAACAATCTGTGTGAAACGAGACAAAGTGATGCAGATCTGACTCGACCCGTCGAACTTAAGAGCCCCTTGCTTGGAGGGCTGCACAGGAGTAGGGATGGGTACCTTTGACATTTGAATCGATTCGGTACTAATTCCTGGTACCTAGGAATCGATACCGGTACTTAACGGTACCAATTTTAGATACTTTTGAGTGTTTAATATTTTAATTCTCTTTTACAATTAAATATATATTTTTCTCAATATATAACAATATTTGATAAATATCACGATAAATAACATACAAATGTTTGTATTTTAACATCGTCTTTGTAGTTTTATAAGCTGATAATTAAACTGAAGCAAACATCTTTACTATGAACTAAATTTACTGTGTATCTTCATTCCTTTTGCCATCTTTTTTCATTTGATTTTTCCTACTGGGAAGTTAGAATTTCCGAGGAGAAAGCGAACGCACCATTAGCTGATAACAATGGTGGCATAGGAAGCTAACATAACAAGCTAACGTTATCTTAAACAGTTTATTTAACTGCTGGAGCAGATTAAAACGATGATGCCTCACACTTAGATCGTTGTCGCTGGTTTCATCTTCACCCAATCACCCGTCGCATTTAGTAAAGTGAAGCCAAACTTTAGAGCGCGTTCATGTTCTTCTAGTCGGAACTAAAGAGTTCCGAGGAGAAAGCGAACAAACCATTAGTGAAACGGAAGCTAACATATCAAGCTAACGTTATCTTAACATTTTATTTACCTACCGGAGCAGATTAAGATGAGGATGTCTCACTTAGATCGTTGTCGCTGGTTTCATCATCACCCAGTTACCCATCACATTTAGTGAAGTGGACCCAAGCTTTAGCGTGCGTTCTTTCTACCATGCTGCTCTGTTTACAACTCGCTCGCAGCGACCGATGACGTAACGCTCTTGCGCATGCGCAGCTGTCTAGGCAAGTTCTCTTTGTGAAGGACGGGTACCGAAACGAGGCACCGTTTCAAATTAAGTGAATCGGTGCTCGGTCGGTACTATGGAATTCAGTCGGTACCTTAAAAAGTAACGAATTCGGTACCCATCCCTAACGACAGGAGACCTGTGCGATCGTGGGGGTCGCGCTTCACCGATCCTGACAAATGTATTTATTTTCTTATTGTGGTATCTTAGAAATCATCTGCAATATTTCCCCCCATGTTGAATACTGAAACTGGTTAATCTGTCAAACCCTCCCTGTCACCGGTCACACACACACACCCAAATACTTTCTCACCAATCTCCATGAATCACGTAGGTGACAAGATTTTTAGTCATCCAATTTCTTTTAATTTTAGTCCAATTTTAGTGAAATAAAATAGAAAATCCATTCAGTTGGCTAAAATATAAGTATTTTTCTTCAAGTGAAATCATTTTCAATTTCCATTAAATAAATGTTAACCTTTTCATATTTCACATTTTGGATAAGTAAAGCTCTATGTTTATAACTGTTTTAATAATTATTATTGGAATGGTAAATGGTGAATGGCCTTTATTTGATATAGTGCCTTCTAGAGTCCTGGAACCCCCCAAGGCGCTTTACAACACAATCAGTGATTCACCCATTCACACACGCATTCACACACTGGTGGGGATGAGCTACAATGTAGCCACAGCTGCCCTGGGGCGCACTGACAGACGCGAGGCTGCCGAGCACTGGCGCCGCCGGTCCCTCTGACCACCACCAGCAGGCAACGTGGGTTAAGTGTCTTGCCCAAGGACACAACGACAGTGACAGGGGCTCGAAACTGCAACCTTCCGATTACGGGGCGAGCTCTTAACTTCTGTGCCACCGTCGCCCACTTTTGGAGCACCAAAAGGAGCACTGACCATTTGAAATTGTGGTTCTTTTCTCGTAGGATTTTCGTTTGACAAATTTCATTGTTGTCTCTTACTCTCAACAAAAATGTGGATCAACATTCGTCAATATTTAGTCGTTAGCGGTGAGTATTTTCTATTTTTCATTTTGTTTGAGTCAACAAAAATTCATTTGTCACGAAAAAAGGAACGAATATATTTAGTCAAAAAATTAACACTGCATCCTGGGAAGGCGGGGTTCCAGGTCTGAGCCTGGCTTCAGGGGGAGGAGCAATCCTGATGACGAACGTGAGCTACTTTGTCTTGAATGCAGGCTTTAAGTGAAATTCGGGAAAATTGAAGCTTTTTGAAAATTGAAAATGCGTGAATGCAAAAAGGGTTTGGGGTATTTTTTATGAGGGAAGGACAATACCACATGGTAAAAAGCTAAAAATGAAAAACTCGATTTTTCATGATATGGAAGATTTAATGGACCCAGAAAAGCGTCATTATCATTAAGCTATTGATACTATTATCATCGGAGGAGCTGGAACATTCTGAGCAACATCACCAACACATTTACGAGCTTGAAGGACGAGAGTCCACCGTTTTACTGCCGTCATGTGAAAAAGCTAAAAACAAACTCCTCTGCTGACATAAAAAGGTGCAACAGAGCAGGACCAGAAGTGTGTTTGGGGGTTTTACCTCTTTGGTTTTTGCTCCATCTCCTCCATTTGAAAGTCCTTTTTCTGTTGACACTTCGGGAATGTAGTTATTCTTCTCTGGTTCCGACATTTTCACGACTCAAACCCAACTTTCCCCCAAAACCCTTCTAAATACCGTCAGTCGACAGCTTTGACTTAGTTTTTGTCCACAGTTAAAGGCCGGGAAAAGACGCAAACATGTGATGAATAACGAAGTTTTAATTAAACACGCAACTACAGGGCGTGCGTGTGCTCCACATCAGAGGATTTGCTCCCAGCTGCAGATTAAAGCCACCCTACCGTGACCCATCCACGCTCCAGGCCGACTGGACTGCCTCGAGCCGCGAACGCTCCTCCGCCGGGATCTGTGCTGCCTTCACTGACCCACGGAAATATAGCCACAAACGCGGGCTGATCACACTCATTATTACAAATATCGTAAGTAAACAACATTTGTTCAACAATGTTGTCTATTCTTTTTATTGGTATAATATTTATATTACAGCTATCCAAAATGTGTCTAATCTTACCAGTTGTTCGATGCAGTAAGTTTTAGATAATCTGGTTTTGTCGAATATTGTTCCGAGACTATGAATGCAGCGCGAGGCGTCACGTGACTTATTGCAACAGGATAACGGAAACGGATGAGTTTTCAATAAAACCAATAAATAAACGTTTGTTTTAATTTTAATAAATATATTTAGACGACTCAGCTTTGGTGTAATTATTTCTGTAGCTTTTTTTATTTTAGCATTTGTTTTTGTCGGTTTTCTTAACTGAAGAAGTTAGTTCTTATAAAAAGATGCTTTTTGTATTTTTACTTGTTTTATTTGTCCTGTTTTGTTTTCTGTTAAGTCTATATGTCTTTCGTTATGTAGTGCCATATTCTTTTTGTAAGTGTATCTTAAATCTCTAAACTTTTTGAGAGTGTTATTTACAGTGTGTCAGTAATGTTTCCTGCACTGAATTAGTGTGTGTGTGTTTTCTTGAGTATTTACTGCTTTTTGGAGTTAATTGGATAACTTCCTCAAATCTAAATCTAGATGATTAAACTAAAAATAAATGGGGGAAATGTGGGTGGAAAAACTACCCCATCCTAATTGTGTCTCTGCAATTCAATGGGTTTTGTGTCAGCTGCAAATCAGATGCATTGATTAACCCAGGTTTGCCCAACTTTGGTCCTCACACCAGACTCAGCTGTACAGGAGCTTTGGCTGATCTGGAGCGTAGATAGTTGTTAACGCAATGGCACAAATGAAATACATCAGAAACAATCTTAGAACACTTTTGATGCCCATCCATCTGTGAAGGGTTAAAGGCCCTATAAAAATATTCATTCATTCAGTGAAGACAAAGATTATTCACACAAAAACAGTTCATAATCTTCTAAGAAAAATGAGAAATCCCAAGAGCCTCATCTCAGAAACTGGCCTCAGTTACAGACCTTTAACCCCAGGTTAGAGGTCATGGAAGTCACAACAGCCTGTCTTGTTTGGGATGTTGCAGTAGAAGGCATTTGAAACAGCTGACAGCTGGATTCAGGCTTGCAAACGTGTATCTGAAGACTTATGGAAAACTGGGAAATTCCTCAGCAGCAATGTGGGATAAAGTGAGATAGAAAATGATTTTAAAGTTGATTCTGCAGAAGGATGTTCCGTTGGATCATGCTTGGGCTTGGTTTTTCACACACTGTAATTCCATTTTAGCTTGTTTAATGATGTGGGATCACCTGAAAACCCAGCAGAACCGTGTGATCTTGACCCTCCTCCACACCTCTGTCTACGTGGTTTTTACAGTTGTGGTCTTTGCAGATTTTCGATGTGCGAGTGCCATCTAGTGGCCAAAGAGTTACATTGCACTGCAGGAAGAGAGTCCCACATGGAGGTGCAGAAATCCACAAGCAAGAAGAAACATCCATGATGACTAACTCTCGTGAACACATGAAGTTTGAGCTTCTGAGAGATAAATACCTGAAGCTTCTATTCTTCTGTGTTTGGTTATCATTACATACAAATACGGAAAACCTAAAATTCAGCGTCTTGAAAAACTGGAATGTTTTAGAGAAAGTTAATTGCTGTAAATGCTCTAGTATTGGCCTGTATTCCATTACCGTCCAGGTCTTCTAAATTAGCGGTAAGTAAAAGCCAGTCTCTAATAATGGCCCGCTTCGTGGTGTTTGGGTGACTTAAGGGTGTGTTTTTTTTCTATTCTCCTGTGGATTTTGTAGGATTAGGGTTAGGATCCTCAGCCTTCCGTGCTAAAAAAAAGAAAGAAAAGCTCACAACAAAAGCCACATCAACATTTTTATTTATTGTTTTAAATACAGAAAATATAAGTCTTAGTGTAAATTAAACATGATTTAGCTTTAGCATTCATAACAGTAAAATTATCATTTCTAACACAAGCGTGAAAATTTTAGTTAAGTTATTATGAAGTGCAGGAATTAAACTTTTGTGTACATTTGATTTGCTGTAAGTAGAATAAACAATTTATGGTTTATTAACAGCTTAAAGAATGTACCAAACTAGATAAGCAAAAAGGTTAAACTTTTGTAACTTTTTCATGTACAAATAATTTATATCAATCATTATATACCTTATCTACACTAATGGTACTTCCACATCTAGGCCAGCACGACTGGCTCTGCTAGGATACAGGGAGCCTAAAGGAATTTCTCAATGTAAAGGAACCTTGCTTTGATGTCTTGGCCCTGCCCCGGTTGCCTAGGAGATACGTCATCAGGAGCCGTCAAGACGTGTTCCAATCGGTTCCAATGGTCATGTTCTACCGAGGCGTGTGTTCTCCGTTTGTTAGCCGTTTCGCTAGCTTAGCGAGGACACATGGGAGGTGTCTTGTATCCTAGCCTTGGTCAAAAACTACCCACAATACACCGCAGTATTTTCAAAAAGCCGGCAGCTACTTCGGGGACAATTTTTAAGTTTAAAAGTAAGTCAGCTAATTTAAAATGTTTTTTTTTTAGATCCAAAGAAGTTATCTATGGTTGGTTAGTTGCTTAGTAGTTGCAGCTTCGGTGGCTAGCGGGTAGTAACTCGCTCATATTTTTAATTTAATGAACATATACACAATTTAAAAAGTAAAAAGGCTAGTTATATATTTATATTGAATCTAATATAACGTTATCTCCCATGTCACGTGACGTTACGTGACCGCCATGGAAGCCGCGGTCACGCGATGCAAGTCTGTTCCATTTAACCGTTTTCTTTGACCAAGGAAGGACCGTGTCCTCGTAAGCAAGGCGCCCAGCCTCGCAAGACATCGCCTCGCAAGGCCAGGCGCCTTGACATTGAGAAACACCCTAGGTCTCCTCCCTTCCCAGTCGGCTCACGGGTACCGAAAGAACGAAAAAATGAATGCAAGTCAACGGGGCTAAAAATGCTATGTTTTTCTCCATTTTGCCTTAAACCCTGAATCACACATATGTTGTACTTTCATTTAAATGAAAAGTAACAATGTGTGATTCAACAACACCAATCCTGGTTTTCCTGGATGTTAAACCAACAACAGCCTTCCCATTTGTGAGTCAAAATAAGTGAGTCCACGAATGTTGAGACAGTCTGGATTTCCCAATCCTAGAATTTCCTCGTCTATTTTTGTTCAGAAGCTAATGCAAGAGATACGTGTAGGAGACTATTTTCATAACTATGTTGATGCATGAAAACTCAGAATGACCAATAATAATCAGAAAATGTTTTTGTGGTCCACACCTTTAATATTTGCCTATCCGCCTGTTTGAGTTCATGTAAAAAGGCAAAAAGGTTCAACTGTTGACAGCTCAGGGTTAGCGCTGAAGGATGAAATAAGATGCTAAATTCCTACTCGTGCAGGTGTTATTGTGAAGATCCTTTTAATACAATTTCTACATGTTCATATCTTAATTTTCAAATTTCTTCAGTACGAATATTATTTGGACAAGGATAAATTACATTAGAACAGAAGTAGAGGTGTAGTCGATTAAATGTTAAAATGGCTTGCCGCAGCGGATACAGGGGAATTGTAGATTAACACTCCTAAACGAACCCTCCACTGGATTGTTCTAATATTACTGTTAAATCCATTCAGTCACTGATGTAATCTGGCTTAAAGCTTATTTGTCTGCGTGCTGATGTCAGACATGATGGGAGTGTCGCAACTTTGTTTCTGCCAGCTCTGCAAATAGATGAGACATTGTCCTGAATTTGTCCTTTAGCAGCTTTGGAAATCTAAAATGTTCCCTCAGGAGACTTCAAGCGCTTCCTAGGTGGAAACGGAGCGGTCCCTGTGGTGGTTGTCGCTGGTTCTGCTGCACGTTTAGTTTTGGTCCACTACTTTTTTTTTTTTTTTTGCGGTGTTGGAAACTCTTTACGGGTTTAACTGCAGCATTTCACACCTCGGTTAATTGTCAAACTGGTTAATCGCTGCAAACCTACTGCCAAAGTCGTCGCGATATGCTGACGTCGGCTGAATTTGAATGGAGACACGACGGCTGATTGGACCAGGACATCGTATCTCCTGGTCGGCTTCCCCCTCCCAGAATTTACCCTGAAGTTCCTGGGATGGAAACACGCCTAATGTCAGAGTGTCCTAAATCAACGCTGCTCACAACCGCCACTGTTAACTAATTAAGCAGGACACACGGACACGTCCACGCGTCTTTTCTCCCGCCCAAGATCTCGAAGACTTCCGCGTTCCAGGGACGGCTTTCTAAACAAAACCTGGCTGTACGCGACCAGGTCGACCCAGATGTTAATGCACCATGATTACTCATAGCTTTTGATATTGTCCACTTCCACTGAATATGGCACAAACTAATATAAAATGCTTATTTAAAGAAGAAATTATTGTGTAAGCACAAGTAAACATTTAGCATTTTTACAGGCAAATCAATGAAGACAACTGTCAGTGGCTAAATTCTGATCTCAGAACAGATCTGCAGGATTTTTTAGCCCAATTCAACGTTGGGTTTGACATCACCCACACTGAAAAAAGGCTTGTACTCTTATTCATGTTAGACATAAAATTGTACAAAGCAAATAAAAGCAAGCAGCCTCTCAGTCCAGTCGTGAGACGGTGCTGTATCAAAGGCACGTTCAGTGATTTAAGGGTTGGTGAGAAGCTGCGATTGTGAAGGTTTTATTCCACCGGGACTGGATCCTGGCAGGAAACGGTCCTCATTCCTGATTTCTGCTGGAAGAACGTCGCCCTCTTTCATGTTTTCAGGCACATTTTTTGTTTCACTCTTGGTATGATTTTCCTCATCTCAGCAGCTTTGTGAAACAAAACAGGAAGACCATTTCATTTTGGTCTTCTACTACGGAGCTTTAGCTCCAGTCCCTCAGCATGAATCCAAACATTCCATCTTAGGAATAGTGTTAAGAATATAAACCAGTGTTTCTACCTTTGCATATATTTGTCAGTCAGGATAACGTCCCATTGGTTGCATGAAGGGGGCGGGGCCTAAGGGGCTCGACACACGGGAGACGGCAAACGACCGCGATCAGCGAAATTCGTTGCAGTCGCTTTGATTACCCGACACACGGGCGGCGACCCACGGCAGCGGCCAGCGGCAAAGCTGTGTACGCGTTCCGTTCCATGGCGAAATCGAAACTTCCTTTGTTTTGTTTGGCTGTGTCAGGTTGGAGGGAATTAAAGTTATTTAAGCGATTCAGAGTTTAAAAAGTGGTAGACAAGGACGTAATTTTCACTTTAGAAAGGGGGGGGGGGAAGACACGGGGGGGGGGGGGGGTCTTTACAGTATGTTCTAATGGGAAACAGGCTTCAACACAAACGGTTGTTTTCCGCTTGGTCCTAGAGCTCAACCAGTGTCAATTGAATATAGCGTAATATTGTTTTTGGATGGTAAAAAGTGCAGGGGTCAAAACTTGACTTAGGAAAAAGTGGGGGGGACATGTCCCCCCTGTCCCCCCCCCCCCCCCCCCCCAAAAAAAAAATTACGTCCATGGTGGTAGATATGATGTTTCACAAGGTGCTGCTAGAGTTATGTGAAATCTTACTTCTGATTTTACTATAAAACATAATAATAATCAACTTCTCCTCCATGTTTGCTCGGAGGTGTACGGAGCATCCTGTCCGCTCATTGGTAGGTGAATGAAACCTCCGTTGATTGGTCCTCGTCCGAGCGACAGCGATGAAAAGTTGAAAATATTTCAACTTTCTGGGATCGCGTCGCTGGGTCGCCTGTGCACGACACGTGTACGAGCGCAAAATTTCACACGCACATTTTTCACGTTTCGCTTAGTAGGAGGGAGACCCGCGATTATCGCTTTGTTGCGCATGTCTCATTGAAAATGAATGGAGGAGAGGCGATGCCGCCTCCCGTGTGTCGAGCCCATAAATTGTACATGCAGCCAGCCAGTAGGGGGCGATAGGGCTTCTTTCAGCTTTGATTCCTGTGTCGATGTTAAAGATAAAACTTGTGTCAGTAAAATTCATCAAGTGGATTTCAGAACAGAACAGAATAATAAACATCAGAATAAAGAGTTGATGTTAACGAGGTTCTGTTGGGATCATCTCATCTGTGGGTTTGGAGGATTTCACTGTTTTAAACTTACTGAGGTGTTTTAATGCAACTGTCAACAAAACAAAACTTCAATCCAAACTCAAGAGTTCATAATTTTTTATCTTGTATAATTTTCTTATGAATATTAAGCTGACCTCTAGTATCAAACCCATTAAATGTACATTTTCTGACGCTCAGCCACGATTTCCAGACATCCATCATGTGACCTATTAAGTTTTAAGAAAGCAAACCCGTCCAGCTGTTGTTTTCCTCTCCCTGATGCTCCAAAACGTCCAAATTCAAATAAAAATAAACTACTTTAAGTCTGCATGTGTTGTGGGGAGAATCAGTCTTGTGGTTCCGGTTTATCGACACAACCATAAACAAATAAAATGAACTGTTTACCACCGACTTCCAGCATGAAGATCCAAGTTTGTTCTGGTCCTACACTAAAAGGCCTCGTTGGGTTTTTTTGGCTTAAAGTAAACCTTCACTCAACAGAAGGTTAAGCAAAGATAAAAAGATCTTTATATTTCCATTTTACAGCCAACATCTAGTGGTGCGGCTTCGGCCTTTCACGGACACAGCTCAGAAAAACTCATCCCATATTCTTCGGGTCCTCTCAAAGCCATAAAATCTAAAATCTCAGGTGTATGAAGGTAAAAGACCTCCGCTTGCATCAAAACTACTAACTTCTGCTGAGGAACATCAGAACCAGACGAGGGACCGGCTGACGGGGTTTTCTCCTCCGCATCAGAGGAGTCTGGGTCTGGATGGGTTGGGTCTGACTGAAGAAAAGGCTCCGATGTGAGAGACGAGATTGGGCTCCACGCTGTGAGACCTTTCTGCAGGAATCTTCCTGGACATGTGGTACAGGGCGATGTCTTTGGCATTGCCTTTGTAGCAGAACGTGCCATCCAGATATTTCGCCACCCTCAGAGAGGCGTTCCCAGGGAACAGCATGGCTGGGGTGCAGCACTCGGTGGCCGGGGAGACGGCGTACAGCTGAGGGGAAATTCTCCGTGCTTCCAGAAGGTAGTGCCTTCCCGTCAGCTCTGCTGCAGCCATGAAGTAGAGAGTGAAGAAGAGGAGGTGGCTGACTGACAGGGAGAAGGAAAAAGAGCATGGGTTCCAGTAGGAGAAAATCAGGAGGAGGGCTGTTGCTGTGACCAGTCCGAGCCCCACCCACTCCAGGATGCGGTACGGCTCAGGATTCAGGTAGCGCTGCAGCCTTTCGGGGTGATACAGTTTGACGTAAAGAGTGTGACGGGCGAAGCGCCGGGACAGCAGGTTCGTGATGACGGTGAAAAAGTCCTGTCTCGGTAGAGCATCATCCTCTAAAACAACCACGTTTTTGGGCTTAAAGAGCTCCCATCCTTTGCGGAGACAGAAGGTGTAATCCCGCTTCTCCTTCTCAAAGGTGTTGATCTGTCTCCGGTCTCCCTGCTGCTCCTGGCCCGAATGCCGGATCACCTTAAAGTGGGGCTCCAGCAGCTTGGCATCCTGGTTCTCTTGAGGTCCGCTTTCAACATCACAGAGCAGCACCTCGGCACATCGCCGCTCCCCGCAGCTCCTCACAATGTTGCTCAGCTGCTTCATTACCTGGAGCAGGTAGTGGAAATCCTGCCCATCTTTCCGCCTGGCTGTCACCACGGTAACCAGCAGCTCTGGATGGAGAGCAACATCACCGAAAGTGGAGGAGGCTAAGACCGAGCCATTCTGCCAAAAGCGCAGAGCGTCCTGACCCTGCTGGAGGCTCTCCTGAAGGGCGACCTCGCTCATAGACTCCAGGTACATGAACTTCGCAAAGTAGTAGGAATACAGCAGGTGATGGCAGCACAAGGGCAGGACGACGCAAAACGTGATGACAGACAGGACGAGGGCTTGAGCGAGACAGCTGGACCATCGTAGGTGCTGGCTGAAGAAAGCTTTCCGCTGAGGAGGTGATGAGAAAACCGAGTGAAAACACGCAGCGAGCAGCATACTTCAAACGCTAAGGAGCTCTGATCAGATGTGTTTAAACAACATTCAGGCTGCGGAAAACCAACAGCAGTGAAACCGGATAAGCTCTGATGTGATCTGACGGCTCGCTGGGAAGTCAGCCATCAGCAAAATCTTCCCGTCTCGTAAACGGAGAAGCAGGACAGCGCTGGTCCTCCGACATCTGTGGGAAGACATAAAGGAGTGTTGTAGATTCTTTGCACCACACGTCTAAAGGAAAACAACAACAATGAAATTGTACAGGTAAATACTGGGACCTGCACGCCACACGTGACAACACCACACCCATTTCAATGCATCTCTATGTCACAACTAAACTGTCCTTCAAGGACAAACAATTATACGGCTGCACGACTCTGACGGGATCCTTTCATGAGTTCATTGGGTTAAGAGTAATAAAAACCTGATCCTGCTAAAACTGAAGCCCATTTAAAGAGCAAGTCACCCCCTACAAGAAACTTACTTCACTCCCACTTCATGTTTGAAAAATGCAACAAATGCTGTTGCTTGGCAGACCGAGAGGGCGGAGCCGCTAACAAATACACACACACATAGGCTCACAATGGCATTATGACATCGTAATATACCAGATGACATCATAGCATACCTCTTAGCCAATAGCGGTGGCAGATTTAAATTCAAATACAGTGCAGAATTTTTCCCTGACGACGGTGCAACACTGACAGTTTTAGGCAGAATATTTTAATTTGAACCAAGATGCAATGAACTGCCAAATTATTGACTACACGTGTCTGTAGCATGATTAGACACTCCTTTATATAGTTTTATCAGCAAAAAAATGTGATTTGGGGGTGACTTGCTCTTTAAAGAGCAAGTCACCCCCTACAAGAAACTTACTTCACTCCCTCTTCATGTTTGAAAAATGCAACAAATGCCATTGCCTAGCAGACCGAGAGGGCAGAGCCACTAACAAATACACACACACACACAGGCTCACAAGGGCATTGTGACATCATAATGTACCAGTTTACATCATAGCATACCTCTTAGCCAATAGCGATGGCAGATTTAAATTCAAATGCAGTTCAGAGTTTTTACCTGACAACGGCACAACACTGCCAGTTTTAGGTAGAAAATTAAAATTTTAACTAAAATGCACTAAAGTGCAAAACTATTGACTACGTGTCTGCAGCACGATTAGATACACATTTATGTAGTTTATCAGAAAAAAGTTGATTTGGGGGTGACTTGCTCTTTAAGCTTTTGATAGCTGCAGCTAATGGGTGAGAGGACGCTGCTTGTATCCTGGTGTTTACCAAATAAACGCAATGCATCTGCGCCGCTGGGACTAGTCAGCGCCAGAACGGCACGCAGCCGAACACACACACAAACACACACACACACACCTGTAGATCATTACACAGGTTAGATGAGGAAGTCACAAACTAAACTCATCAGCCTGAACAGACCACATCACACAACGTCCATGTGTTTGGTGCGTCTGCGGCCAAATAAAGGAACAAACGTCATCACGCATCAAAACGCTACATTTCACTGAACAGCCAAAGACAAACGCAGTGCCGCTATTTAATGAAATTTCAATCGCTTCCGGCGCGTCAACGCATCACATCGATGTCAAAGATCACCGTGACGTCGGATAAACTGTCCGCAGTCACGCGACTGAAACGTTAGTCTTTATTCGCCACGGTGTCTAAAAGTAGAGAGAAGAAAATGGACTCACTGACCTGTGTGTTTACAGCAGCCATGTCCGCCGAACACTGGCGGCAACCTCTGGGTAAAACATTTTTATCCAAATACCGTAAGGACTAAAGCAGAGGGGCAGCACCATATTCCGCTTCTCCAATGCCTGGACACGTGGTAAATGCACTCACAGTCATGAATACGTAGACGCCCGGGCGCTGGAGGGCGTGACAGCGTCACCGCCATATTGGATGGGTCTCCTCACTCTCCTAAGTCAATGCAGGGGGTGCAGCCTACGGTTCCAATGACCGGCGTGCGTATTGAAAACAGATCACGTAGGATTACAAATGACATTTCTAGCCCGCCCGATGGGAATTTATATTTAAATTTATTTAAAATTTACTTAGTTCAGTTAAATTTATATTTTAATTATCATCTCATACCTTGTGTCTGATTTTGTGAAAAAGCTTGATAAAATGTTTTTTTAGTTGAGTAAGCCCCTTCCTCAGTAGAAATGAATGCACTGGGGGCCAATGGAGACCCATCTAAAATGGTGGTCGGCCACTACAGCACTCCAGCACCTCCCCAGTGTCCTCCTGACCATTTTTACATCTCGGACCATATACGCACCAAAGTTGTTGTTTTCTGTCACAAATAACGCCTTTTCTGTCACCAAGACTCTCCAGGTGCTTCGAAACAGGTTCTGGTGGCCCAACATGGTCAAGGATACCTAGGAGTTTGTCCTGGCCTGCACCAGCTGTGCACAGGCCAAAGCCTCCTACTGACCCCCGGCAGGCCTGCTCAGACCTTTGCCCATCCCCAGGTGTCCTTGGTCCCATATCTGCATGGACTTTATCACTGGCCTCCCGCCATCCAACTCATACAAGGTCATACTCAACATTGTTCACTGTTTTTCTAAAACGGTCCATTTGGTCCCCCTCAAGAAACTCCCGACTTCCCCTACTATAGCTGACATTCTGGCACGTGAGGTCTTCCGTCTCCATGGGCTCCGATATCATCTCGGACAGGGGGCCTCAATTTGTGTCCAGGTATTGGAGGTCCTTCTGCGCCCATCTGGGCATTCAGGTCAGCCTGTCCTCTGGTTTCCATCCACAGACCCACGGCCAGACGGAGAGTCTCAGTCAGGAGGTGGAAATGAAGCTCCATCTTTTGTACCAAGACAACCTGGTCGAAAAACCTGCCTTGGGTGGAACAGGCCATGAACGCCCTGCCCTCGACGGCCACAGGTGTGTCCCCCTTTTTTACGCAGTTTTTGGATATCAACAGCCTGTCTTCTCTGTCCAGGAAGTGGTTGCTGGCGCTCCCTCTGCCCACGCCTCTGGACTCTAGTGCTGCCGTGCCTGGTGGACCGCAAGGCGGCGTCTTCTCCAGGCCTCGGCCATTTATGTCCGCTCTGCCAACAGACGTCGCATCCCTGCTCCTCCTTACAGGGTGGGTCAGATGGTCTGGCTGTCCACAGCAGACGTTCCCCTCAGGGTGGACCGCTGGAACTTGGCTCCATGCTTCATTGGCCCCTTTCCTGTCTCCAAGGTCCTCAACCCTGTGGCTGTCCGCCTGCCCCGTGCCCTACAGATCCACCCATCCTTCCATGTCTCCAAGGTCAAGCCTGTGGTGTCCTCTGCCCTTGGGTGTGTCAGAACAAGAATTTCTATGTTAACAAAAGAAGGGAGCATCTTATAAAAGGGAAATGGATCTGTTCTGAGTCAGTTTCCGGTACTGATTCTGTGAAATGATGAACCCCTGGTTCTGGATTCAGATTCTGCTGAAAGGCACGGCCTGTGTGAGCCTTTTTTATGATTTGGTTCAGAATTGCATTTACTTGTTTTTGTGTGATTATTGGATATAATTTTAAATAAAGTGCACGTGTTGCACTTGGGTGAGAATGTTGTTTTGGTTTCTGGTCCATTTACAGTCTTTATTATGATGGATCTGAAGGTGAAAACCACTAAATTAAATTGTATTTAAGGAGGAATTACTCTGAACAGTAAATGAACAAACAATACACACTCATGCTATATTTAGCTTTATGTGAAACTTTTATTCAGTCTGACTCTCAAAGTAGCAGATTTCTCCGTACCCCTCTTTCTGACTCGATCTTTCGTGGAAAACAGAATTTTCTCATAACATTTGAACACCTGACCTAAAAAATTTTTTGCTGAGAGTAACATCAAATCCCTTTGAACTGTAAGATGTAAAGTTTCAGCCTGAGATCAGGTTCTATCTCAGCTGGACAGTCAGAACTGTATGGGACGTTTATTTCATGTGAGGCCATGGTTTCATAAAGGTTTTTTTGTTGTGTTCGGCAGAGTGTTCCATCATCTGGAGTAGGTTTTCCAGGCTGGAGGATAGAATGACAGCAGCAGGAAACCAGAGCCAGCACATCGATTATCCGAGGTGTTTGTTTGACAGCTCACCTGCTAAATGAGATGCTGAAGGTTTCCATAGCTTAATTGTTTACAGTGTGAGACGTGAAAAGCTGCTGCTCTGATGCTAGCAGAAAATAGTAACCTAGCACGGCTGGTCATTAAAGCTCACGACTTCCAGTAAAACCATTTAAATAACTCAGTGCTTAGCAGTTCAGCACCTTCATTTTGTTTAAAACTAAATGAGATTTAGCCTGGGATAAATTTCAACAAAATCTGAAAAAAAAATAACTTCAAATGATCTTACCAGGTCCAATAAGAAAATCCAGAATCACAGCTTAAAGCAGAGGAATTCAATTCAAGTTTATTTATATAGACAAGAGTCGTCTCAAGGCACTTCACACAATAAACATTCCAATACAGGTCAGCTCATTAAGCCAATCAGTAAAAACTTTCTGATATAAGGAACCCAGCAAATTGCATTGAGTCAGTGACTTTACAGCAATCCTCATACTAAGCAAGCATTCAGCGACAGTGGAGAGGAAAACTCCCTTTTAACAGGAAGAAACCTCCAGAGTATCTTGGCTCAGTATAAGCAGCCATCCTCCACGACTCACTGGGGATGGAGAAGACAGAGCACGCACGCACGCACACACACACACACACACACACACACACACACACACACACAAAACATATATACCAAGTAGTGTTTCTATGGTTACATTGTGATTTCTTAGTAAATATTCTATTTGGCGGGAGATAAACTTTATTGTATTTATCCTAGTGAATCTATAATTAAACAGGTAAACTAGTAGTAGCACATTCAATGTCAAGGAAAGTAAAGTGTTATTATCAGGAGAGGGAGAATGATTAAATGGTTAGCAACAGTGTTCAAGCCGATGGCCCCCTCCACGAGGCCACCACAGCTCAGCAGAACATCATTGTAGCTTCTTCTGGGGAGAAAAACACTTTGAAAAAAAATAAAATTTACAGCTGAAATAGCAGGAAATAATACAGTGAAAGAGCAGATTGTAGAAGAAAGTAGTCGTGTGGAAAGTGGTCAGTGTGTCCTCCAGCAGTCTAAGCCTATAGCAGCATAACTACAGAGATAACTCTGGATAACCTAGCCTCTTAGTTGGAGGCAGGTCAAGGGAGAGCCGTCTTTACCAACTGTACACTCCACCTCCCTCTACTCCCCCACTTGTCCAGATCTGGACAACATCAGATTTTAACCATGGGCCCTATCAAATAAAAATGTTTTAAGCCTAGTCTTAAAAGTAGACAAGGTGTCTGCCTCATGGACTAAAGCTGGGAGCTAGGAGCCTGATAGCTAAAAGATCTGCCTCCCATCCTATTTTTAGATATTCTGGGAACCTCCAGTAAACCTGCAGTCTGAGAGCGAAATAAGAACTATTAGCAAATTTACACTATCAGGAGAGAGGGAGTTCAGCTATTTACGTAAAAGTAGGTTTTGTTTGACTGAGCTGTTTAATATAGTATGGAAATTTGCAGATTTGCTGTGACAGAATTGTGGTGCTAGTTAGTCCATAATGGGCAGTCGTCAAACAGGATTGATCCTGTATTAAACTGCTCTAAGCTACAATGTTTCATAAGTTGTCACAAACACTGATTTTTAAACGTGTAGAAGGGAAAAGACTGGAACACACCTGAGGTGTCCTCATCAGGATTCAAACTCTGATGGAGACTCTGACAAAGACACATCAGGTGTCCTCCAGTCTTTCCCCGTTTCCTTTTTTGTGCTTCAGCTGTGTAGCCCCTGACCAAGCCCTATGGGTAATACACAGAGAGCCTGGATTCTACTGATTTAAAAACCTTTAAATGTTACAAATGTTTGTATTGCAGGGTTTGGATATTTAAATTTACTAGCATAGCGCCAGAGACAGTGAGAGTGTTGAGCTCAGACAGAGCCCTACAACTTACTTACCTTCAAAAACAAATAATTTGCACAATGGCTGCATTTTGTGATTAAAATCTACCTGTTTTACCATCACTACTAGTGCCTTATTCTTAATGTATTGTTTGTAATGGGTATGGACTGGACTCACACACTTTACAGGGATTAAATGGCCCTTAACAGAGGACCATCCACCCACCCAGTACAACCTGAGAGAACCCCTCCCCTCCCCAGGGTGCCCCTAAGGAAATGGTCATTAGCATTCCCCAGATAAAACATGTGCCCCCTCCAGCATGTTGTCAAGGGTGAAGAACCATCTTTAATGGTTATTTTTTTTAAATATGATCGGCTACTCTGAGCTTCACATGAAATGTGAAAATAGCCTAATTTATACTTATTTTTAATTATCCGATGAAAGTGACCACAAGCTTGTGATTGGTCAAGATGCTGATTCCTTTGAATTTGTCAACAGCGCCACCATCGCCCCCTCAAAACATAAAAAGGTGTTTAGCAGCCGACACAGAACAGGTTGAAGAAGTCTCACAGAAAGAGTTTGTAAATATGAAAGTTTTTTTTCACTCGAGACTGAAGGAAAACAACTATACGGTGTTTTAACCATGGGCGAGAAACGTGGGATTGGAGGTGGAGATCGCATGAAGAGGCGGAAGACAACGAGGGACAATTTCGTCCGTGTTGAAGTCTCTGAAATACATGAAAACGATGTACAGTCGTGGCCAAAAGTTTAGAGAATGACAAAAATTAGTTTTCACAAAGTTTGCTGCTAAACTGCTTTTAGATCTTTGTTTCTGTGTTGTACTGAAATATGATTTCAAGTACTTCATATGTTTCAGAGGCTTTTATCAACAATTGTTGTGTGGTGGGGTGAGTACTCTTCATTTCAGGAGAGGGAGCTCACCAGCTGCAGGGTATTAGCAATCAGCGGCAGATGCAGCAGAGCTCTTTATAAGAGGAGAGGGAACCACTACACAGCGCTGGATGATTAACTACTCATGGTAGTATTTTGGCCACTTGTTCTAGGTTGCTTGGTTTTCTAAGTAGACAATTGGCTTGGAGAACTTCTTGGGTTATTCTTGGACTCTTGTGTTGGATTTTTGGACTCAAGTTTTGTATCCTCTCTCCAGGATCACTGGACAATCTTCCCTGACGCTCTGGGTTTGTTGGATATTATCCTCCATCCAAGAAGCAGAACCTTACTGGATTACTCACCTGGAAAGAACCATACCTTCCCGGACTTCACGGTTCGCCTCTCCTCTTATTCCTCTGCCACCCTGCCTGGCTCCCTCTCCTGGACTCACCCCGTCACTCCACCTGCCCTCCTCGACCTCCTCCACCTGCAGAACTTGGACTCTCTCTCTGGCTCCAACTACTCTGGGTTCATTCCAGGGACACCTTTTGTTAAATTCCTTAAATAAATCATTGTTTTGAACACCCCCCCCCCCCCCCCCCCCCCCCCCCCCCCCCCCCCCCGTCTTGTGATGATTCTTCATGTCGTGATTTAATTGGTGTGGGAAGGATAGGAATCGGGTTAATGTAGGGCCATTTTAATATGTAAAGCACTTTGAGTTGCACTTTTTTGTAGGAAAAGCACTTTATAAATAAAGTTTGATTGAACTTTGTGGTTATTCTATTAATTAGAAATGGGTGATGTCGCCTATTTACATGACTTTTTTTTGTAAATGTATTTTTTATACTGTGTATTGTTTAATGTAGTCAGTAGTTATTTTCCAGTTAGTATCAATGCCAGTGTGTTTGTTGCTGCTGCAGGGATTGTCTTGTGTTGCCATGGTGATAGCCACTGGTCAAACATTGATAGGTGAGTCTCTCACTGATCCTCCAGTCATTCGTTGCGAGTTTTCTGCGTGTGAATAGGGGGGCACTGGGTGCCTCTGCTCTCAGCTGATGGGGATTCTGGTTTTTCTGGTCAGATCTTAAACCCGAAGAGTTCGTCTCCACTTCAGTCTCTCTTTCGCAGCATCAGGAGCAGCAGAATGGCATCAGATATTACCAGAATGGCGAACCTCCCCAGTGGGATTAGGATTTGTACCACCTTTCCCGACATCCTGTATTTACCAGAACTGGTAAGAATCTCCTGCGTGACTTTTATTTATAAAGCAGCTTACCTCCATCAGATGACGGTGACCACACTGAGCAGGCTTCACTTGAGCATCGGGTCCCTTTTTGTTTAGACACACACGGCATCTCTGCATAATTTCTACATCAGACAAACTTTTAATAAAAACTTTTAATTGTCAATCACTGATAATCCTTTACCAGAAAAAAATACACTACATTTAACTTTTGCACAGACCTTGAAAAACTAAATACATATTGTGCTCAATAGGCATGCCAGGGGTCAGAGTTCAAAACAATCATGCAACAATCAAGCAATGGCAACCACTGCTAAAATGAACCCATCAGACTGTGGACAGAGCAAAGAGGTCGTTAAACCTGTTATGACATGAAGAGTTTTTAGGAAGAAAGCAGAGGTGCATCAACAGTCCAACACACAAACAGAGCAGGTGGAATCCACCGATGACAGCAGCAGCAGGTGGAGGCGGGTTGGGTTGCATGAATAATGCAGTCAGTCAATCAATAAAGGTGTAGAATGAACCAGGGCAGCGACACCCTTCTCTGCTGCAGATGAGCTGGCAACTCAAGAAAGACAGGACAAGCAAAACACACACTGGGGTCGCATGTGCACGTTTACATGTGGGCCATAATACGCAGATCTTGTCATTTAGCTGTCTCATGTTGAGAATCCTACACCTAACCCCGGGTTTCCATGGGAGCCGTCAGCAGCACGTTACTGCAGCAGCACGTCTTGCTCGCGTAAGCTGCTGCTTGGCCCTTCCCACGAGACGCGAAGCAGCAGGGGAGCAGCTGTCACCGACCGAGCACGAAGTCACACGAGTGACTTCGTCAGTAAACACAACAACAAGCAGGAGAAAACTACAACATGGTTTGTGTTTTATGTTCTGTCCGTTTTATAATCGCCAATACGGACCTGAAAAACAAAGGAGACCGCTAGCTAGGTGATAACTTCTCACGGGGCCGCACAGTTAGTAACATTTTTTAAAAGTAAAGCAACCGGAAGGCAGTACGTTCTTTTTTCTGAAAATCTCGGGAGCTTCTCTCCATTTCCGCGTCCGATTTCCTGTCTTTCCTTCCCCAAACATGTCGAACTTGACCCGTTTCAGAGGCGTCGCCCGTAGGAAATAGAACCGGCGCGTAAAGGCCGCGACATGCTGCTCCTGAGACGCGGCCGACTCGCTCTGCTGACGGCTCCAGTGGAAAAGGTTCTGTTGACCACAGCGGTTCCTATCAGCAGCTATGACGTGCTGCTGACGGCTCCAGTGGAAAGCCGGGGTTAGACGCGAGTTGTTTTCATCCTCACGGACACACACCAATCAGACCATGAGTGATGACTTGAGCCTGGTATTGTGCGATGTGACTTGATTCCTGCGACAACACAACTGAGTACAACTGAGGACTGGGAGTCTGGTCACTCGTAACTGAAGCTGGGATGGAGAACAGCAGACCGGGAAGTATATGCAGGAGAGCAGGGACAGTGACTGACTGACACATCTCGTCATGACATTGAAGAAGCGGACATTCCTGATCACTGAATCTCCTACCAGCAAAGTGGAAGGTGAAAATAGTGGACAAGGTGTAGAAGTCTTTTGATTTGTGTTCCCGTGCAGTAGTGGAGGATTCTGGGTTTGGCTTCCTCTGGTGTCGGGGAACTGGAGGGGTTGAGATGGAGGGTTTGCCATGGAGGAGCTCACCTGCTTAGCCAAGGCAGGTAGTCCAGCAGAGTGTCGACGCACAGTGTTCTGCGTCAGGCATTGGAGGTTGAGGTCTGGGGGGAAGAGACTGAGGAGACTGCTTCTTCCAGACTACAGGCTCCTGCTGGATGGTATCAGATGGTTGAGAGGGAGGAGGAGGCCTGGAGATATCAGCTGGTTGTTCCTCAGAGAATGAAGAGAAGCGGTTTGAACGACAGAGGTCAGGTGGGGGATGGGATCAACAACAAGGGCTCTCCTACGACCACGTACCACAATATCTGACCAAGATGAAAATGGGTCAGGAGTTGAGCTGGAAGTTGGTTGTCGTGAAGCAGTAGGATCTCAAGCAATAGAGTGTTGGAGCAGAGAGTTTTGCATGGATGTTTTATTTTCCAACTGACCAACAAGGGTCTCATAGGCGTTAGGAACAGCGACAAAGTCGCTGAGTTGGCACTACCTCTCTCTCTGCCGCTAAAGCTATGGATAGCAAATGCTACGGGCTATGCCTGAGCGTGAACGCGCATGAAGCAGCCTGCTTGACCCGAGCATCTCTCTTTTTCTGTGATTTTACAGAAAAACAGGCAATCACAGTAAAAATGCCAGGGCTCATTCTACAGGACCAGGGCATTGCAGGAGAATGCATGAAGAAGAAATTTATTATTTCTGTACATGTTTTGGCTGTCAAACTTCCATAATGCCCCTTTAACTACATCATTAAGTTAATCCACATACAGTCTTACTTACTGACGTCAGATGTACGGGTCTATTGCCCTGTGTGTGTGTCTCTAATGATGTCTCAGCACCTTGGCATTCCCCCAGAGGAGCTGGCCTAAGTAGCTGGGGAAAGTCTAAAGGGTTCAAATGAAGGCAACTGGACTTCTTTAGTTTCTTGAAGACATTTTGCTTCTCATCCAAGGAGCTTTGGCAATTCTAACTGGAATATTTGGAGAGTCAAGTTTATAAGCTGTACCTGTCTATTATTTAATGAGCCAAAACTACTCTGGGTATCCCGTCTCTCCATCGAAGGTACCTAGAGTAGTTACGACTTGTTAAATAACAATACCTACAGCTTATAAGCTTGAGTCTCCCAAATTCCAGTTAGAATTGCCAAAGCTCCCTGGATGAGAAGCGAAACGTCTTCAAGAAACTAAAGAAGTCCAGTTGCCTTCATTTGAACCCTTTGGATTACCATGATCTCAATGACTGAGAACCTTCACCAACATAGATGGGGAGAGGGAAGTCTGGGTTTCTTGGCTTTGGCTGCTGCCTCTGCAACCCGACTTTGGATAAGCAGCTGAAAATAGATGGATGGATGGATGGATGGACATTCATCTCCTCACGCTTAGACTACTGCAACTCTCTTTTCACGTGTCTGAGCAAAACCTTCCTGAACCGTCTACAGGTGGTTCAGAATGCCTGTGCTCGGCTTCTGACCAAGTCCTACAAACACACCCACATCACCCCGCTTCTCCTCCAGCTTCATTGGTTGCCAGTCAACTTCAGGATTCACTTCAAGATCCTGGTTCTGGTCTATAGGGCCTTACGTGGACAAGCACCATCTTACATTGGTGATCTTCTTAGTCCCTACACCCCCAGCAGGTCCCTGAGGTCCAGTGATCAAAGCCTACTGGTTGTGGGCTAAAGACCAAAGGTGACAGATCATTTGCTGCTGTGGCCCCCAGACTCTGGAACTCTCTCACCCTGAGCCTGAGATCAGTGGACTCAGTGGTCTCCTTTAAAAAGCAGCTGAAAACTCACCTGTTCAAGCTGCCTTTTGCGTGACCTTTGTCATCACCCTCTCCTTCTACCTATACTTCTTTTCCTGGGATCCACCAATATCCCTCTTTCCTAATTATTTTTTCTCTCCCTTTCCTTACAATTTGTAATCACAATTTAAATTGTTTTTCTTTTTAAACAATTTTTAAATAATAAAAAAATCATTTTTATCTTGAGAGGTGCTATATAAGTTTCTTTCTTTCTTTCTTTCTTTCTTTCTTTCTTTCTTTCTTTCTTTCTTTCTTTCTTTCTTTCTTTCTTTCTTTCTTTCTTTCTTTCTTTCTTTCTTTCTTTCTTTCTTTCTTTCTTTCTTTCTTTCTTTCTTTCTTCATATTCTGCCCGTTATCTCCAAGATTTTACCTAACCCCATCATCTCATTAGATGATCTAAATTAAAAACTTTGGCATGAAAAGTAGCAGGTGACATGAATCCTTTCAAGGACTTCTAGGTCTTTAAACAAAATATTATTTTGTTTTATTCTGGGTTTTTGCATCTCTCAACTAAAGAAAATTATTACAGTTTTTTCTATTGCTAAAACGCGTTTTTCAAAACTGTACGTTTCTTTCAAAACTGCACACACAAAACCCCAAACATAACACACAAAGTCCTAAACCGTGGCTTCCCTATGCAACAAAACCCCGCCACCACATATCGTAACATGTTCCCAAAATGGAACACGTGTTTTCATTTGGTAAACACAGCCACATTTTCACATGACACACACACACCATCCATTGCTTAAACACACATAGCCTTTGGGTGAACACTACCAAGCATGGAAAGATCACTGAAGAGAGAAACTGAAAACACAATTGTCGAAAGGGAACACAATGAATTATACACTGAATGTATGACAGTGGCCACTTTTCTCTGAGACAAACATTAGGCATCACACAAATTTTGAGACAAAACGTTTTATTTTTAGTTACCCCCCCCCCTCACACACACACACACACACACACACACACACACACACACACACACACACACACATTTTGAGACAAAACATTTTATTTTTAGTTACACCCCCCCCCCCCCAAGTTTTGAGACAAAACATTTTATTTTTACGGTTACCCCCCCCCCCCAAAAAAAAAGCATTATGATGGGGCACCATGCCGCCGGTCTCTGTCTGGCCAGAGGGCCTCATCAACATCACAGGCGATCTCCTCCTGGTCCAAACAGCGCTGGAAGTACCGCCTCGAGTGCCTCATGAAGCCCTGACAGACCTCAAAGGCCACATCTCTACAAGCCTCCTCCGTGGCTTGAAGCAGTGGGACCTGGCTCTGTGGATTCCTTTCGTACACCTTCCACCTCCAGGCTGAGAAAAACTCCTCAGTGGGATTGAGGAAGTGGGAATAAGGTGGAAGGTATAAAATGGAAAACCGTGGGTGGTCCTGAAACCACTCATACACCTGGGTAGCCTTGTGGAAACGTACTTTTATGCTGCAGTCCCTGATTGCAAATTGCTCGCCAGACCCGACAGTTTAGAGATTTGAATATTTGTGTGTTGTTGATTGAAGCTTTGAGAATTTATGTGGAAAGTGTGTGTAAACCTGAAAATTGTGTGATGTGTTTTGACGGCAAGGTAATGTGAAACTGACATCAGAGTTTAAAGGAGGAAAATCAGAGTTCTAATATGATAAGGAAATCTTAAGTAGTGATAAATTGAGTCAAGCGATTGGGAACAGAAGTAGAGGTTGTGAAAATTGTGCCTCATTTTTGCTTTTTGAGTTTTAGCAATTGAAAAAAACTGTAAAGGCATCACCTCACGCTAAAGACTCATCAAAAATGACTGCATTTAGGCTAAAATGAAAGCGTCAGTCTCCAACAGCTCCACTGCATTGCTTCGCTGTAGCATGCTGTACTTTCACCTTTCTGGTATATCTTGCAGATCTTTGGTGGTCTAGTGTGGATCTTGGTGGCGTGCACATTGGTGGAGCCAAACAACCCACAGGGCTGGGTCATGTTTGTCTCTGTCTTCTGCTTTGTCATGACTTTCATCTGGTTAATGGTGTTTGCCGTTGGGGGTCATCACAACTCTAGTGGCTGGGCAGCAGCGGTAAGTCGTCCTCAGAACTAAGAACTGTACTTTTCCATGTTCCCTATTGCTACTTGGAATAAGAACGAATCTTAGTCAAATGTTAGACTGTATTGAAAGTGATTTCGGCTCTTGACTGTATGGTTTTGTAGGGTGAATGCTGGAGATAATGTTGGTGCTCATGGACGCAATTTTCACTTTAGAAGTGGGGGGGACAGGGGGGGGGGTCTTTACAGTATGCTCTAATGGGAAACAGGCTTCAACACAAATGGTTGTTTTCTGCTTGGTCCTAGAGCTCAACCAGTGTCAATTTAATATAGCGTAATATTGTTTTTGGATGGTAAAAAGTGCAGGGGTCAAAACTTGACTTTGGAAAAAGTGTGTGTGGGGGGGGGGGGGGGGCATGGACCTCCTGTCCCCCCCCCCAAAATTACGTCCATGTTGGTGCTGCTCTTTTTTCAACTGAATAAATTCAGCTGAAAGAGGAACTACAGTACAGGCTAAAAGTTTGGACACACCTTCTCATTCAATGTGTTGTCTGTATTTTCATGACCATTTAAGTAAGTAGTAAGTAAATGTTATTAATATAGTTATAATTTATATATTTACGTATATTTTTATTAATATAGTTATAATTTATATATTTATATATTTTTTATTCATATATATGTATATAGTTATAATTTATATATTTATATATATTTTTATTTATATATATGTATATAGTTATAATCTATATATTTATATATTTTTTATTAATATAGTTATAATTTATATATTTATATAATTTTTATATAGTTATAATTTATATATTTATATATTTTTTATTCATATATATGTATATAGTTATAATTTATATATTTATATATTTTTATTTGTATATATTTATATAGTTATAATTTATATATTTATACATATTTTTATTTATATATATTTATATAGTTATAATTTATATATTTATAATATATTTATATTATATTTTATTTATACTATCACAGACATAGAATCACAAAGTGCTTCACATAGATTAGAACAAAATAAAACAAAGTCATGAAATCATAATGATCTCAAAGCAGAATCAGATTAACATCAGAAAAATAAAGTCATGAAATTATACAATTTCATAAACAGAAGAAAGATTAAATTTTTGAGTTAAAAATAAGAAAATAAAAGGTTTAGATAAAAGCAGCTTTAAATAAAAGAGTCTTTAGCTGTTTTTTAAAAGTGTCCAGACTGTCAACGCTGTGTAAGGATAAAGGAAGATCATTCCAGAGTCGGGGTGCAACGGTCTGGAAGGAGCGATCACCTCGACTTTAGTATCTGGTCTTTGGAGCTTCTAGAAGGTTCTGCTGGATGGACCTGAGGGCTCGGGTTGGTATGGAACTCAAAAGTGTTCAAAATTCAATGAATAAATAAGACATTCTGAAATAAATATCTACATGAAGAAATACTAGACAATCATGTAATCTGACAATGAAATGTTATGTAAAATCTAAGCTCAATATTATGAAATATTTTCCATTGTTCTTTTAAAATGTCTTTATTTATACAATGTTTATTTTCAAAAGTCATTTTTTCATAATAATCCAAATTAATATTGAGCCATTTTTATTTAATTTATTCAGTTTTTATTACATAACGTCTTTTTAACAAAGACATATTTTATTTCATAAGAGTTTTTCCCATGGCTGATTTATTTCATAATGACATTTTACAGCAGAATGTCTCAGTCCGTCAGTCAAGACAGTGGGTGTGACCTGCAACACCATTGGTTAATCCTTCAACATCGTTTGGTTTTCCTGGATTTCTGCTCACCGCACATGGCCGGACAGTTTAACCCTTTGATGCATAATGGTCACTACAGTGGACAAGTACTCAAAATTATTATTTATTTGTTTTTGCTGTTAAGCACAGCTGTTGAAGACAATTGCATTTGAGCCCCTCCATTTGGACTTCAGTAAGCCAAGCCAACATATTTCATGTTCAGAGTGCACGCTGTCCACTGAGGTGGACATGTAATAAATTATTTGTAAATTATAAAATTTTACAAAAAATATTTGTTGAAATTTCTTTCATTCACACCTAAAGATGAATGAAAAAAATTGTTAAAAAATCATGGTTGAAGATTTCATAATTCATGCATCAAAGGGCTAAGGTCTGTAACACCTTCCTAGGTCAGTGGTCATGAAAGATGGCGGCGCTGCCCGAACTTAGTTTAGCTCTGCTCTCTTTGGCGAATCAAATAAAGTTGAATAGTTGGTCAGTAGACGATATTTTGAGTTGTTTGTAGGACATTTTTGAAGCATTTTGTATGATAAGTGCTCTTCAGCATGTTAGCATCAATGACGCTATTCTCGATCGTTTAAGAGCAATTGAGCACCGTGTCCGTGTGGAACCTGCACAACAAGAATGAGTTTCTTCAAATGTTGGCCGACCACATCTGGAAATGTCAGGCGAAGCACTCAAGAGTCTGGTGCTATCTGGCATAACCACCGATGTTATTGCTAAGATGTTTTCTGTGTCACCCAGCACAATTCGGAGGAGAATGGCGGAAGAAGGTTCAAGGTAAATGTATTCTGCAATTTAAGTAAACATCTGAAGGGTGTTATTTATGACCTTATAGAAATGATCAAGTACATGAATTAAATCTAACGAAATGACATCGTCCACTTCTTTAAATTACTTAGCTAAATTGTCAAAGTTTAATAAAGTGCCACAGTACAGCTTTTTCACATGTGGGCATGTAGTTTATGCCTACATGAATTTAGGTATGTACTACTCCTGCTAAGACTGCTTAAATCTCAACAGTTGTGTTGTAGATACGCTTTAACTGTAGTAACATATTGTTTGGTATCTGCAAATGTTAAAACTTGGGCTTTAAAAAGATCCTATAATCTTAATTTTTCCCTACACTATTTTTCTATCAAAACTTGAATCTGTATTCAAAATATGAAACGCAGGCTGATATAATGTAGTCCAGATACAAAAAGAAACACAAAAATCTCCATTTAGAGAATTGACAAAGTAAAAAGTTTTGTCTATATTTACAGAACTGCTATTAGTAGCTAATTGTACTTGTATAACAGCTGTTGGTGCCATCAAAGATGAGTAAGCTGATTACAGAGTTGATGCCAGTTTATTGTATTATTTGTGTATTTTAGAGGCGTTATAGATATTGTAATGCTTTGAGATTTCACCCGACCAAAATTAATAATGCATTTCCTTCAGAATTTATTTTAAAAATATGATTATCAAGGCTGATAATACTTTTATACTGTTATAAAGTTCATTGTTTTTACTTTCAGAGCATCTCATAGGTATTCTTCTGTTGGAGATGAAGAGTTGGATGCAATCGTTTTGGACATGCAGCGCCATCACCCAAATGCTGGTTGCAGAATGATGATGGGACACCTACGATCCAGAAACATGCACATTCAAAGTAAGGCCATTGTGTTTAGATGTCGTAGCACAGGTGCCAGGCAGGCATGATGTGATATCTTTATTTTCAATCATCAGTCCTGTCTTCTCAGCAGAACTGTTACGTAAAAGAAAAGCCTTTGTGCTTAGCTGTGCAGCCGTGACAGTCTGCCCCTGAGTCATTTTCAACCGTCTGACTAAAACCTCCCTGAATCATTTACAGGTGGTTCAGGATGCATGCGCTCCAAACACACCCACATCACCCCGCTTCTCCTCCAGCTTCACTGGCTGCCGGTTAACGTCAGGGTTACTTTAAATTCAATTCAATTCAACTTTATTATCGGACTCAAGGTCGACATTAAAAAAGAGACATAAAAACGATACAAAAGATTATAAAAGACATGCATACCAGTGTCTCCACATGGTAACGCACTACTAAAATGGGGATCAACCAGCATCTGCACAAGTCTGTTCTTAGAGTTCTTCAATCGCAAGTTAAACCTGTACATCAAATTCGTCATTATGGCTTGGAAGGTCCTGACATGAGCATTACAAAATAAAAGACTTGCACTACAGGACCGAGGCTTCCCTAGCAGAGTCCTAAATGCATCGTTGTAGGCTACTTTAAGCTAACACAAGCTGGCTTTCCTATACTTACACCACAAAGGTGCAGTATACAAAGGTGTGCAGTAGGTTCTAAAAAGGTGGATTTTTATTTTATCAGAACATACCGGTATGTGGAATTTCCTGACCAAAATATTGGCTTGGGCATACAAAGCGCGACATTGCCGGTAAATGTCGTCATCGTCACAGAGCTGATCTGTGATGATGGGACCCAAATATTTTGCTTTGTCACTGACACTTATCTTCTTGTCGACCAAGTAGAAGTCTGGGAAACAAAGATCCTTATCCCCTTTTGTTCGACAAATCAGCACAACACTCTTTTTTGCATTAAACTGCACATCGTACTTCCGCCCATATTCAGAGCATGTGTTTAGCAGCTGCTGAAAACTGGCACTGCTGGGTGAAATGATGGCCAAGTCATCAGCGTACATGAGAGGATTAATCAGATTGTTACCAATCATACATCCAGTTTTACATTTCTTGAGTTGATTTGACAAATCATCCATGTTGAGGTTGAACAGAGCAGGTGACAGTAGCCCTCCCTGATGCGCCCCGTTGTTAACACCAAAGGGGGCTGATGTGGCATTGTCCCATTTAACTTGCAATGTCTGATTAGAATACCAGTATGCCAAAATCCTCACAATGCTATCAGTGACACCTCTTTCACTTCATTTACAAAAAAGCTTAGAGTGGTTGACCCGATCAATGCCTTAGATGCATCAATACACCCCATCATCACTGAGGAGTTCTGTCTCAAATAAAGATGAGCTGCTTCCTTCAGGCCATAGATACACAGATCTGTTCCCAGCTTGGATGTAAAACCAAACTGGTGGTGTGTCGTTGTTACATAGGGAGAAAGTCGACAAGCAGTACCTTTTCCAGTACCTTAGAAATATCACTAGCTAAGGCTATTGGCCTGTACTTATCCAGGCACCCAACTTAACCAGCTTTGTTTTTGGTGACAGGCACTAAGGTAACAC